TCTACGTTTAAATATTGCCGCTATTTATTCGAAAAAATAAACAATGATTTTTGGTTGTGCCATGGGTTAGTAAAACAAAAAAAGAATCCAAGCAAGGATCAACTGTATAACATATGCATGATAACTTTCACGTGTACGGTGTTCTCGATTAGTGATTGCAAAAGGTCATTGATTAGTGGCGAAGTCGAATTTACTTAGGTCTCGTTTGCTTACCTTACCGGATTAGATTAGATTGGACTAGTTTCTTATTGATGGTAACTTTCATGTGTACGGTATACCTGATTAGTGATTACAGAAGGTCTTTGATTGGCGGAGCCAAATTTTACCTAGGTCTCGTTTGCTTACCTTATTTGATTAGACTAGACTAGTTCCCTACTGATTAATTAATTATTTAAGGGTAAATTACAACCACCTCCTGCGGTATGGTCAATTTACAAAAAAATCCTTCTTGTTTGGATAATTACATCTACCTCCCTCATCAATGTTTTTATCTTACAGCTCCACCATTATGGTGTCAAATTCAACATAATCAGCTAGATTTCATGGAATGTGCTCTAGTTTGTACTCGTTTTGTGTAAAAATAAATTTTCTGATGCACCACAATCTGATATATTCAAGCCAAAAAACACATATTATGATCATCTTTGCTTCAAAATGTGGATTCGAATGGGATAAAACGAGTACAAAAGTGATAATATTACATATAATCTTGAATATTCCACTAAATTTGAAACCGCAAGGATAAATGTGTAAGAAAATTAACGAGTGGTTGTAATTACCCAAACAAGAAGGGGTTTTTTGTAATTTAATCATACCTCAATGGTGGTTGTAATTTACCCATTATTTAATTAATAATATATATGGTTCTTTACATTACATGTTGTATTAAATTGGATATATTATATTATTATATTTGAATTGTCTATTAATTACTCTTGTTTAACAAAATTAAATTATAATTTTGAAGGATAAAACTGTAATTTTCTTTTTAGTCACCCTCAATAAAATTAATCGCATGAGAGAAGAGGGGTACAAAATTAATCGCGAGAAAGAGGTGTTACTAATTTTGTGAAGTAATAACATTTAGTTACGAGCTTTTATTTTAATAGTGCACATAATAATGTCGAATCTTACAACCAAACATTTTAATACTAACACTTACTAACATTGTTTAGTCAATATAACTTAATCTAAATCTAATTGTGTATGTAAATGACTTTATCAAAGCCCTCCAACTAGGTGAAGGCGTGCTTATTGAAGATATATATAGCTTGAAAAAATAAATTAATTTATTTAAGAAAATAATAATAAGGCTGCTGGGATATATCATGCGTTATAAAAATGATTCTATGAGACAAGTGGATAAAAATCTACATTTGCACGAATAAGAATTTTCTTCTAGTTTTTTTTTATTCATTTGCAATATTCATTGTATTGACTATTGACCTCTCTCTCTCTCTCTCTCTCTCTCTCTCTCTCTCTCTCTCTCTCTCTCTCTCTCTCTCTCTCTCTCCTCTAAACCCTAAATGCATTCATTGAAATTGCATTTGAATCCAATAATAAAATGCAACTACAATTTTTATAATTTGAGTTTTTAAATTTCATTGGATCATGAACAAAATTAGTTGTAGATAGGGATGATAATAAGGTCGGTTCTGGGGCGCGTTTGTCTAAATCAATTTTAGCTTAATATATAAAACTCAGATCCACCTCAATCCATTTTAGTTTAGACCCTGACCCGTCCCAACTTATATCCAAATTAATTAAACGGTTCTGACTCAGTAGACCCCTTAACATCAAATTAAAGATTTAATATTGTTGAACTTTCATAAATATTTTACTTGTGTATTCCAAGTAAAAGAATCACAAAATTAAAATATAATATTTTAAAAAACTTCTATAAGTGACATAAAGTAAACAATAAAATTATATAATGAATTATTTCAGTGATACTATTGGTTGTTTGCCCATAAGTCTCTCATCCAAACTTCAATTGCATTGATTCAAATTACATTGAAAAGTCAATAAAAAGAGTTGTAACTTGTAACACTTTAATATGAGATTTGAATTTACCATGGATTAAAATATTAATTTAGCAATGTTTGTTGTTGTGCCTATAACTCTCTCCTCCATAAGCTTCGGAATTTTTATTGAATCATGGACAAAATTAGATGTAGATAAGTTAAGTTCAACTTAATAAGTTGTATATCTTTCTAGAAAACTTAATTTTAGTAAAATAGATGTCAGTTTAATAAGTTCAATTCAGTTAAGTTTAATAAAGTTAACAACGAGTTATTCTTACGAAGGACGAATTTTAATTAAAAACAATATATACGACCGTATTTTTAAAATTGATGTACCGGAGACTTTAATCAAGAAAAAAAAGGGGCCTTATTTTTAGAAAAATAAAGTTGAAGGATTTTTAGCTAATTGTTGCAGCTAATTTTAATCACACTTGATATTATTGTATGAATGTGATCTATGATTGACAATATATATGTGGTTTAGAGCCCGTCTGAGTAAGTTTATTTAAAATAATTAATAAGCATTTACACCTGATAAGTTGTTTTAAGAGTTGATAATTTGTAACGTCTTACTTTTATGATCAATCTTTGAAGTGTGTGGATAATACGTCTATAAGTTATTTAAGTTCTCCAATAACTTATTTTTTGAATTTTTAACATATTTTTTAAAACAATTACTGAACACTTTGTAAGAGCTTAGAACCTCTTAAATAACTCATAAGTTGGTTTTAACAGCTTATAAGCTAGCCAAACACCCTCTTAAAACATTCCTATCTATTTTCTTTATGAATATGGTAGGTGATAAAACAAAGACTAAAAGATTAAGGCTTCGTATGGTTGGTAAAATTAGTCAGAACTGAATATTATAATTTTTCGAGTAGACCCCAATTAGTGAAAAACATGCATAGCTATAATTTTGAGTGATTAAAAGATTATTTGTAGGAATCCCATTTTCCAACAACACAATTTCACTTTTCATAAGATTATTTAATCTTATTTTAACTAAATTTATGTAAGGACTAAGGAACCAAATGAAAATTGAAGAAAAAACCAATCTTAATTAATTTCGAGAATTGGTACACGGCCTCTACTATATGGTTCGAGTCCTGTCGTTCCCATACTTCCCGAATTTATAAAATCATTTGAATTTTGAAAAGAAAAAAAAAATAAAAAAAAATAGAGAGAAAATATAGGAGAAGGTACAATAGAAAGGATTGAAGCAAAGGGGAAAAAAAAAAGTGAGGAAGGAAAGAAGGAGGAGGCGTGAGAAAGTGTAAGGGGCAAACTGTCAGTGTGTACAGTTTAAGGGACCAGATTGTGACATTTGATCAATTAAGTTTTTCTTCTTGCTACTATTCGATCCCCCAATTACCGACATTAACTAATTCCCTATTCCTTCTTTTAACATACATAAAGTTATTTTATATAATACATACAACACACATATACTTACATACTTTTACTTCTTCTTACACAAGATGATTTTTATTATCAATATCTTATATATAAAAGAAAGAAACGCTGTGCAACCCTAAGAAATCATAATGGCATTTTTGTAATTATTTATTTTTTTAATATTTTTTGTACTAATTTTCTAATTATATTTTCAATACTTATCAAACTTGACACTGAACCGTGAATAATCATTCCAGTTTCAATCTCCTATTGTTCATTAATATATGTATATCTCAAATCTTAAGAAATAAAAATAAAAATTCTATTTGTTAACTTGAGCAAAATTTTCACTTTTAAAATCCGATTCCGTGCATCGCACGGGAAGAAAATGCTAGTATAATTAAGAAGAATTAATATACTAGCTAGCATATATTGATTGTTGGTATCGATCATGTTATCTTTCGTTTCTTTCTAAATTGTCTTTTTAAGAAAATAAAAAAAAAATGGTGTTTTGAATTTTGTACACATATTAAGAAAATCAGTGAATATGCATGTACCAGAGTAAACAAAAAAATTGAAAATTACTAACGAATCTTTCAATTAATTTAGAGAATTGATAAATGGCAAAATTGATTTTTTTTTTTTTTTGCAGTAAATGCATTACTGGAATTATATATAAAATGATAAATAATTTGGGACGAAAACAATTATTCTGGAGACAAATAATTTGTAATGAAAGGAGGATATCATTAGTAGAAAAATAGCTTTTTACTACGACCGTTAAGACATTAACCGTAGCAAAAGATACCAAATTCGTAGTAAAAGGACTTTTGTAGCAAATATTGTTTTGTTTTGGTAAATCTTAGTATTTACTATGACTCCTAGATTGTCCAGTAGTAAAAGATACCTTTTGTTACGGCCTTTTTGTATCGTAGCAAAAAAAAATCGTAGTAAAAAAACCATTTTTCTACTAGTGATTTCATATTAGAGGTTAAAACAACACTTCAGTCTTCAGAAGAGCATGAGTTGTTGAATTAAGAGGTGCATTAATGCAACAATTTTTTTTCTTTGGTTTTATTTAAATCAACTATATTTTTTTCTAGGTAGCTAGTTTTCACTCTCTCTCACACAGAAGACACGCAGTGAGGGGGTCAGTAAGTATTAATTAGTTGCACCCAAAGTTAGAGGCATGGATTCCTTACATAAAGAATTGCCCCCACCCTACTCTCTCTCTCTCTCTCTCTCTCTCTCTCTCTCTCTCTCTCTCTGATCTCAACATTCTTGTTAACTGTTAGACCCTAAAAGCTTCCAAAACAGATCCATTTATATATTATATATACATATATATTATATACACACACATAGTCACATACATATATATATATTATATATATTATACTTACAATTCCTCTTCTCATATTCACTTTGTTTCACCAAAAGGGAACTCAAAAAAACCCTCTGTCTGTCTATCTCTCTCAGACTGGTCCATTTTCATTCCAACAAGGAGAAACATAAATATATTTTATATATACATATATACATACATATATATATATATATATATATATATACATTAAAGGGTAATTAAAAACCAAAAGGAAAGAGGGAATGGATTGGAATGGTAATAATCTCAGAGTTCCTTTGGTTTCTCGACCAGAGAATTCGGCCTTCAGCTTCCTCTACAACTATAACTACGATCACTTTTCCGGTAATTTTATTTACTACCTTCCATTTTAGTATTTTCTTGTTCTGTATCTAATTACACGTCTGCGCGGTTCGCCGGAATATTCATGCGCTACGGGCGCTCCGACCGACCGATTTTATCACAATTTATGCATTTCACATGTACTTTCTTTTTCGAAATTAACGAAATATAGAACAAGGGTTTTCGTTTGAAAAAACCCTAGAATTATTCCAACTTCTTCAAAAAAGTTTCTTAGTCTTTTAATTATTTTAATAATTCAACTAATTTTCCCTTTTTTCTTTTATTAATTGTTTTTTTTTTCTTTTTCTGTTTATGTTTAGAAATGAAGCAACCATCAATGCAAAATACGATGGTTCCGACTACGACGGACAAAAACAATACAAGTATGATGAGTATGATGTACGGTCAAGACCCGAAGAAGAAACGGCTGAGCACGGAGCAATTGGAGTCGCTCGAAAACAGTTTCCAAGAGGAAATAAAACTCGACCCCGACCGGAAAATGAAGCTGGCTAAGGAACTAGGGCTGCAGCCCCGCCAGATCGCCGTCTGGTTCCAGAACCGGCGGGCCCGCTGGAAGGGTAAGCAGCTCGAACGCTTGTACGACGCCCTTAAGCAGGAGTACGACGCCGTTTCTAGGGATAAGCACAAGCTACAACAAGAGGTATATATATATCTATATTTATATACTATTCAATTTATTTTATCTACTTTTTTTTTTAAATATATGTGCATGCAAAAATGGTTAATTAATTAGGTTACAGCTTCTCTGACTTATTAGGCAGCTTCTTCATTTGTGAGAAGACAGACATCATTTATATCATTATATCTATATCTGTATCTATATATATATATATATATATATATATATATATATATATATATATATATATATATATATATATATATATATATATATATATGCATGTGTGTGTGTGTGTGTGTGTACAAAATGAAATAGT